GGGGGGACGCTGCGGGCCCCGCGGAGCGCGTCGTGTCCTGGGGCTGCTCGTCCCTGGCCCTTCTCTGCTGAAGCCGAACGTCTTCCCTGCCCGGAGCAGGGACGTGACTTATTTTGGGAGCGGTTAAACTTTTTGCTCAGTTAGTGATAGTTTAGTGGCAGTTTTTCTCTTTAATGGGAAACTTGCAAATTTCTGCGAGATCCCTAATTCCCGGTGCTCGGGGCAGAATGGTGGAATGTGTAACAACGCGGCTATCGCTTTTAATTTTGGAAACAGTTAATGAGTTAGAACTTGTGCCTTTTCTCATAGCTAATTGGATCTCGTTCTCCTGAATAGATTATGTCCCTGTTTGTGGGTTTCTGCCTGCTATCAATATATGTTTCTCTCTTACTCTTGATAGTACCAACCTAAAAAGAGATGTGGTGTCTTACCAGAGTAACAAAGTTAATTCCACATGATAGAAGTTCTCCTTAATAATAACTCTTAAGAATAATGATATAAAGTGAAAGCTTACAGAATAAATGTGATAATAGTAAGCTCTTAATTAGGTAAATTTAATAATATAAATACATCTTTTTTGTTGAAGTTCTGCAGGAACAAGATAACTTTAACTGTTAAGCTGTATTTAGTGAGTACAGCTCTAAGGAGTGATGTAAAATTTCAGACATCTGAATCAGTCTCCTAAATGCTAAACTGTCAGGGGAGAAGGAACGGATGTTTGTTACAAACAAGGTGATTCAAAGACTTGTATGTTCGATTGCATTGTGACCCCATGATAACTTGTTAAGAAGTTACTTCATGCTTATGAAATGCTGCTTTGAAGATATTCTTAAACTGTGTAGTAGGTTTTTTCCCCCTGCTAAAGTATGAATCGTGATTTAAATCCAAAATAGTTTCAGTGTGAATATCCGTGTTCCAAGAACTGATAATTTGAACAATGTTTGATGGGTACTGGATTATATTTGAATCATAATGAGTTCAAGTGCTTCCCCAGAATTTTCTTATAGTACATTTCTGTCATTTGAAATCTGAAAGTGTATTTTTCTAAGTTTGCTAACTGTATCTGAACTGTAATTTGCCTTGTGATTTTTTTTTTCTGTTGCTAATAAAGGTAAACCTACTCTTTAACTTCAAATAAACCAGCAATTAAGACTTCTGTTATCCTTCAGTAACCTTTTTCTGCTTTGCTTTTGTATTTCACCTGCAGAGGTGCTCCAGGCCTGTAAATGTAAATGCTAAAACCCAGTATTTTTACTGTTTGGCTTTTTTTAACAGTAGTAGAAATATGTGGGTGGGCATATCTTCATAATGTGCCGTTCTACTGGTTTATTAAGGTAATTTAATCAGGATTACTACATCATTTGGTTCTAAATGATCTGAACTTGCAAAGAGGATGTTGTCCATTCATGCTGCTTTCTGACAATTAATCTAGTGTTAAAAGGAAGGTTAAATGAGCTATGAGTGAGTTTAATAAGAAATGTGAATCTTCTCACAGGAAAAAAGAAAAAACACCTTTTTTTTTTTTTTCTCCTGTGGCTAGCTATTCTTGCTGTGTTGCAGACAACAGACAGGAGGGAGTTTGGGTTAAGTCCCCCAGATATACCATTTAAAAACTTAAACTTAAGGGAATCCAAAGAAGAGTTAAAGCTTACTTTCAGAAAGCTTAAAAAAAAAAATGTCATTAAGTTATTAGTTATTAGCATTTTTACTAGAGCTGAAGCTTATCCCTAATATTTTATGAATATGCTCCAGGGGAAAAAAAACCACAACAATTTATCTCAAATTAAAAAAAAAAAAATTAAAAGTCTCTCAGATAATTTTATTAGCATGTCTTGATAAGTATTCCTTTCAGGTTTTATTTTTATAGTGATTAAATGTATTGTTTTCAGGTCACTACGGAACAAACTTAGGGCTATTCTAGTCTGTTAGACCTGAAGTCTAATACTTGTATACTTCCCTGCACTGTAATTATGGAATTTCCAAAACTCTTATCTTGCTTTAACAGGTGACTGGTAGAAGAGAGAGAGACCTATTCCTGACTATGTCGAGGAGAAAGTTGGAGAATAAAAGCCTTTCTGGCTTGTTAGCTACATCTCTGCAGACACAAATCAAGACAGACAATTTCCACAATTTTTATATGCTTGAATCAAAAGAGCTGGGAAGGTAAGAGTATTCCTATAGAAATTATTTTTGTAAGAGGAATTTCTGCTGCAAGATAATTCTTTGTGCAATGATAGACCTTTTCTGGCAAACTTTTATGGTTGTAGATGGGGAATGAAGTGTGTCTCTCTCTTCCCCCCTTCTTGGTAGTATCCATCTGGTTCTCTAGGGACCAGGAAGAGGCACAGTGAGGCATAAGTTGCCAGCCTTCTCCATGTCAGTGAGATTTAGCCTGTTTTCATAGCCATGTAGATCTGGGATCATGTTCCTTTTCTTCCATTTCCCCTGCCTAGTCACACATCATATTCCAGGTGCTTAAAGTAAAGAAGGGACATAGGGTAGTAGTGCAAGACAAAGAATGGGGATTTTGAGTTGGTTGCTTCAGTTTGGTTGGGTTTTTTGAAGTCCAGAACACAAAGACCTTTTTGTCTCCTCCTCCTACCCTCAAGCGGTTAGTCTAAGTTTCTAACAACCTCCTGTTTCAGAGTAGTTTTGAAGCCTGCTTCTGTTGTTCGTGTTTGCAACATGAAGTAAAAGAAAAAACAAAGCCCCTTGATATTTATGATACTGTTTCAGACATTTGTGTCAATACTTTTTTGAAATCATTGGGTTAATTCATACCTTGAAAATATTCAGGGAACTGGGTGTAAAGCCATGCAAACATGATGCCTGGTTGTGTTTCCAAGCTACTTGAATGGAAGGGGCATGGGGCAGTCTCACAGTTGCTGTGTCTTGCTGTGCTATGAAGTGATCCTTTGCACCTGCAACTTGTTTTGTCAGCAGAGGTGCTCTTCTTCATGTGATTTTTGTAAGCTCTTTAGCCTTCATTGTTCTCTTGTTTTTGTTTTTCCCTAGCATGTGCTTTATCTGGTACACTTTTATAAAATGCACCTTACCTATAACTTTCCTCTTTTCTTACCCCTTTGTCAGCTCTAGTTTTGAATTCTAGGCTCTACAGAAGTGGTTTAATGTGCACCATCCTCTAGAACTCTGGTATTCTTAAAAAAATAGATTTTCAGATTGTACATACCTGTGAGACATTGTCTAAAGCAAACAAAAGTATAGATTTTGCATGGATTCCAAAACACAGTCTTTAATACTTTCTGTACATGCAAAACCAGACATAACAAATTAAGTGCCAAAATACAAAGGAACAGAAGCAGAGTAGTATATTTTCCAAACATACTTTTGATTTTTCCTGCCCTAACAGTGTGTGCATGCATATTTCTTTAATGTTTTAAGTTTTTACAACACTTTGTAAATGATGTAAAATCCACCTTTCTTTGTAGCTTCTCTAAACAATTAATATGCTTTTCTTTGCACTTGCAATTTTCTTCTTCCTCTTCAGCTTACTAGGTAAATGGTTCTTTTGTTCTTCTCTGCTTAAGTCCTATTTCTTCCTCCCACACCCTTATCTTTTAGGTGCTTTAAGACACTGACTCACAAAGCAGGCAGGTTCTGTTTACTGGGTTAAGTAGTTTTGTCCCCAGTGTGTGGATGGCTTGACTTCTTTTGAAGTAGTCGCATTTCTGTGGTTTATAACTTGGGATATGAAAACAACTTGAAATAATTTTTTATCTCATGAAAGTGGGCTGTAAAGCGTGATGGTTAAGCAGTTGCTTTGCAGGCAACAAGGACTGGGAGCCACTTTGCTCGCTTTACTGCAGCACTTCAGGTCTGAGGTTTTTTGCATTTCTGAAGAAATTCCACTGCTCTAAAATGATGCTTTAACTTAATAATTTTGTCTTAATAATTGTCACACTACAAATACAGTATAAACAAGTGGAAATTCTTACATGATCACTCTAGACACACCGCTGACCCTTTAAAGCTGTTATACTCACCATGACTAGAAGAAAGATGTGCAGAAACTTATCGGGAAAGATCTTGCTGTTCTTGTGAAACTCAGCCAGTTCCCCTTTTTTAATTTTAGATAAACTTTTGTGGTTGGCAGGATGATGTGATGTTAATGAGAATGTAAGCTGTGGGGGAGTATCTTAAACTTTGGCATATTACAAAATTCAACTCCGCAATAATAGGCTGGTTTAACAGTTGAGAAAGGACTCGGCCATTTCAGGCTTACAAATAGTTGCTAAAGTGAAGTGTGCATGTATCAGATTGTAAATAACTTTCACCTTTTAAATTAATTTTTCTTTGGATTTTTTTACTCTTACCTTTCTAAATTTAGTGCTTTAAAAAAGGGACAAAGAAATCCCTCAACTAATTTGGTGATGAAATAAATGATGACAGAGAAGCTGTTTTGTTGAATTTATTTCTAAATAAGCGATAGCAGTATGATTTAAGGTCAACTTTGCATGTTTTGTGATTTAGTCACATTAGTACAAACTGTATTTGACATGTGTTTATTTGCAAATAGAAACCTGATTTCTCATGAGATGCTCATACCTTTTTTGATTAAATACTGAAGTCTAGATTTTTCTAAAAAGCCCCAGACATGCTTTTTTGTTGGTTTTTAGAATTGTTCCTTTTAGACATTGGGTTTTTTGCACCGGAAGAAAGGCAAAAGCCTGCAGGGCAATGTAGCCTTTTCTACTAAAGAAGCTAATTTAGTTGAAAAAGCACAGGTCAAATAGCTTGTACTGAGCTTCTTCTTCAAGTTTGTTCTTAGTGTGCTGTGGTAACAAAAAACATGCATGGAAAGGCGTTGTTTTTTTGAAGACATAAGTTTAGATCTCATTCTTTGTACACAGTTTTAGAAATGTTTTTAGAACTTTACAAAATTTATATTAGCCCTTCAAGTTGTTTTGGTTTTGTTTTGTTTTTTTTAAATAATGTTTCTTGTATCATTTGAAAACGCTTTTTAAGTATGCAGCTAGGCATTTCTGGGAATGCAAAACTTGTGATTATAAAACTTTGTTTTTTCAGGAGTTTATAACTTGGCTTAAAAAACTGCATTTTTTCCCCTAATTTTTTAAAAGGTCAGCTTGGTGTTTGAACTACAGTATGTGGTTTTCTTTTAAAAACATTTCTTTGCCAAAATACATTTTTGTTTCCATACCTACACAATTGGCTAAGAAATAAAGCAGCACGCTTTGTCTAACTGTAATGGAGAAAGAAAATGCGAAGTAGTATGTATTTTCCTGTTAAGATGTTTTTAAACATTTTGCAGATACCTGGGAGTTTTTTTAGCAGTTATGATTTGTGGAGGGAAATTCCATTTGCAACTCTAAAATTTTAAGTACTGAAGACCTCCTCCCCAGCCCAGCATACAAATGTGCTTGATTTTCTGGGTTTGTTCTCTACATTTTACAGGGTTTTGCTTTGTTTCTGACTTTATCCTGTAGGTGCTATAATGTGGTTGAGTTTTTTTTAATATAACATTGCCAACCTGTACAAAGCCCTGAGCAGCCTGGTAGGATCTCATAGCTGGCCCTGCTTTAAGCAGGATGTTTTGCTAGAGACCTCCAGAAGTCCCTTCCAACCCAAGTTATTCTGTGATTCTGTGGTTCTACAGTGAGAACATCCATGTAACATAATACTCTGATTTAATACTTAGCTAGTCTGTATTAAGGGAATTTTACTGGCTCTCCTCAAAGCTTCTTCTAGCTTAGTAACATTTTTCCTACAGTGGCTGAAAGTGAATTTTCAGGGAATAATGTAAGAACAGACCAAACATAGCATTCCCCTGATAAGTTTTTTTTAAGTTTCCAGTTACTTGCCATGCCTTTTTATTTCTAAAGTCAATTTACATACTTTTGATGTCTTAAGTCTTAATGTTTTTTCTTTTATTTTGTAGAGGAAGATGTGCTGTTGTTAGAAAATGTATAGCTAAATCCACAGGCCAAGAGTATGCAGCTAAATTTTTAAAGAAAAGAAGAAGAGGTCAAGACTGCAAAGCAGAGATTCTTCATGAAATTGCTGTGCTTGAATTAATGAAATCTAATCCTCGCATAGTTAATCTCCATGAAGTCTATGAAACAGCAAATGAAATCATCTTAGTGTTGGAATAGTAAGTATGCCTTCATCAGCTGTTCCACGTTTGTAGTTACAAATCTGTCAACATACTCATTTTTTGCATGAGTTCCCTGAACACCCAGAGTTACAACAGTACGCCGGATACATCATGATAATGTTTTATTACATTTTATAAGCTCTTAAGGACTTTTTTGGTATGATTTATTTTCATATAAATGCAAGAGTTGAATCAATTGTTTATTTGAATCTTTGGGTTTGTACGTGTGTTTTGTTACATCCACAGCTAAGGAGTTATGCCAGACAATATGGAATAAGGCATAAAACAATGCACCAAAACCTATAGTAGTTCTGTACTCAGAATTTAAAAAAAAATGGACTGAAAGTTTGTTTTGACAAAAAGCTATAAAAAGAGATTCTTCTTTCTTCTCACTGCATAACTCAGTTTTGTAGACAATTTCACTCAATGTCAAATTGAAATATTTTTTATGCCTTTAAATACTATCTCAGGAGGGTAATTTTGATTAAAACTTGCCTGTTTAATTTGAGCAGATTATTTCTTCTGCTGGTTAGATTTTTGTAAAAAAAAAGCTCTGATCAATTTTCAGGTCAGACTTAATATAAAACCTGAATACAAACTCTAGGGTGTAATTTTTTTTTAATTTCTTTTTTCTTCAAGAGTCTTTCATACAAGCTGATCAGAGAATGTCCTTGAATCACCTAGTGCATAGTGCTTGGATGCATCTTTAGATGCATCAAAGATGCACCTCTAATCATACAAAAAAAAGTTGTCATTTTTGCCAACTACACTGATTTCAGAGAAGCTTGAGCACGTCCTTGTTCTATGAACTTCAGTCACTGCTTGACACTTTTTGGTGACAGAAAATTTGCAATTAATTTGTGGGTTCTGAGCTTCTCAACTTAGTGGTTTTGTTGTTGTAAAACAGTTTGGCTTTTGGACCTGTTTCCTCCAAAATTCCCTTATCTTTGTAGATGCCTTGCGGCTTCTCCTAAGCTCTGAAAACAGGTCTGATTTGGGAATCTAATTTGAGTTATCTATGTTATTTGCTGTATATGTAAGCATTCCTTTAGAATGTAAGGAACGAAAATGCAGTTTGAGCAATTAATTTAGAAAGTCTCTAAGTAGGATTTAAGGTTCGTGTACAAAGTATTTGAAGAGCTGTTAATAGTGGTCTGCACACGGCGTGGTAAATTCCTTCAAATTTTCCAGAGAATATAGCTACGTAATCTTAAAACATTTTTTTCCTGGAACTAGATGATTCCTAACGTATCATTTGTTGTTCTGAGAAGACTAAAATAATAAATAATGTAGAATGTGCACCTGTTTTGGGTGCCCCAGTATAAAAATGATATAAAGCTACTGGAGAGTGTCCAGAGGAGGGACACTAAATTGGTGAAGGGCTTAGAGGGGAAGCTGTATGAGGAGAGGCTGAGGTCACTTGCATTGTTCAGCCTGGAGGAGACTGAGAGGAGATCCCATCGCATTCTATAACTTCCTCACAAGGGGAAGAGGAGGGGCAGGTGCTGATCTCTTCTCCCTGGTGACCAATGATAGGACCAGGGGAAATGGCAGGAAGATGTGCCAGGGCAAATTTAGGTTGGACATTAGGAAAAGGTTCTTCACCCAGAGGGTGCTGGAGCTCTGGAACAGGCTCCCCAGGGAGGTAGTTGTGGCACCAGGTCTGATAATATTCAAGAAGCATTTGGCCAATGCCCTCAGACACATGGTCTGAATCTTGTGGGGTCCTTGTGGGTCCCTTCCAACTCACAACATTCTATGTTTCTATGAATGTAGAAGTAAGGACAAAATCCAGATAATAAGTTTTGAACTTACCAAGAACAAGTACAAATTCACGTAAAAGGCATACTGATTTTCCTGCTTCTGTTTCAGCTCAACTAACTCAGTCTTGCTTATTAAAGCTCTGTAATGAAACAACTTTCTTATACTGCATTGGTGTAAATGGTGTACTTTGTAGTAGTGTTTGGAAGTCTTGCAGTAAGTATTTCTAGTTCTATTGGGATACTCACAGGGCTGATTATGCTTCTAAATTATGTCCTTCTGTAGCAGGATACACAGATTTGTTTGTTTCTCATTTTCAGAACTCTGAAGCGGTACTTTAAAAGAATTGCAAAAAAATAATCTCTTACTCATAAAATAGTTTGTAAGCTTTTCCTGTTTAGCTGCATTTTTCCTCCTACATATGGTCCTTGCTGTTGTTAGATTGTATTGGTGGGGCTCTTTGGAAGATGTAGTAGTAAGAATCAGTTTGTGTAAGCACACATTTTCTTAATAGAGGAGAGAAATGGATGCTTGTTCTTAAGGTCATCTTTGTAGAGGGAATTACTTAAAGACTTGAATACTTCAAAAGCCCCACAACAAAGGTTGTTTCTCTTCTAATCTGAGGGTCAAAGGTAATTGGAGGAATCAGTTTATTCAGAGAGAAACCTGGCAGCTGCATTAATTTTACAGCTGTACTAGGCAGCTGTACTAATTTTCAAATCCATCTAGTTTTGTTCATTGCAGAACTAAGAAAGGCCCTACAGAGTGAGATCAATGGCCTGTCCAGTCTGTTTCCAGTCATGGCTGTAGGGTGATGCTATTTAGGAAGAGCTAAGGAGCATGTGAACCTGTCCACCTTTTGCTGTCCATTCTCTTTGCACTGTCCCAGCAATCAGAGGTATTGTACTGAGGATACTTCTCTGCTGGTTCCTTTTAGTGTCTGTTTATGGACCTGCAGTATGTGTGAATCTGGTTTGTCCTTTTTTGAATCTGGTGATACTGTCTACTAAGTTCCAGATGTTTGTTACCTACTGTGTGAAGAAATACTTCCTTTTTAAACTAATCAGCCAGTTTCATCAGGTGCTGTGAGATTTGGCGAATAACAGTTCTTTTGCTTATCTCTAAGTTAGCTTTAGTGTTTTTGTAAGCCTCATTCATAAATTCCCCACAGTCTTGTATCCAAACTGAAGAGTTGGTGGCTCTTTGGTTTCTTCTTGTAAAGCAACTGTCCGTCATCTTATTTGCACTTCTCTGTATCTTCACTAATCCTACTTGCTTCTTGAAGATGCAGAAACCAGAACAACATGCTTAAGGTTTTATGCTGAGCATCATTTTGCTGCTTTTTGTTCCCAGTAGCCTTCCTGATGATGCACATTAGTCCAGTTATTTCAAAGAACTTTCAATCAAAATTTCCCAAGCTGTTCCTGCAGTTTAAAGTTTGGCATTGTATAGGATTTGGTTAAGTTATTTTTTGGAAGATATCATATTTATGTACACTATAGGTCATCTGGTGATCTTTTACTCCCTTTCTCAGTGCTGAATGTGCTTGCCTTAGCCTGCTGGCTGTGCTCTCGTTAGTGCAGCCCAAGGTGCTGCTGACCACCTTTGCTGCATTCAGCTTGCCCTCTGCGAGGACTCCCAAATCCTTTTCAGTGAAGCTGTTCAGCTCTTTACCCATCTGGTTGTCCACCCATCCAGACCATAATGGAGTAACTTGGATACAAGAATACTATGGGAGACAGTGTTGAAAACCACTACTCTCTCTCATCTACATTTTGTTGTAAAGGCAACTATGGGAGGCATTACTGACATGTCACATAGCTCCGGGAGGTTAGTGACTGTGTTTATCCATGTTGTCCATAATCTTAACTTTTTAAATAGACTTTTATCATTTTGCTAACTATGAAATTCAGACTTACTGATCTGAAGCTTCGAGGTGGCTCTTTATCCTTCAGAGAGAGAAACTTCAGGCAGTTAGAGCAGGCTGAATAATTATTTCAGACCCAGCACAAAAGGAAACAGCTGACACTGCAGCAGAGTGTAGAAATATAACTGTTAGAACACATGCAACATGGTTATTTCCATGCTTCCTTTATGCTGTACAAATATTATGGTTTTCTCTAAGTAAACAACAGCCTTTTTCTGAGGAAGACATATTTGAGAAGCTGTATGAAAACATGAAGCATGTCAATTTCATCTTTGTTAGTATGGAAGTGGTAGATTTCAAAGTGACAGAGCTGAGTCCTTGGATTTCTGAATATTTTGTGTCTGCTAGAGTTCTGAAAGATACTGCTTGGTAACAGACAAGGTAACTGCATATTTAATCATCATCCGCATGCTAGATATTCTTCCTGGTATCTCTCTGATAGAAATACCTGATTTTTAGACTTCCATCAGAATGGCAGGACCTAGAATGGCAAGTATGCTTCCCCCACCCCAGAAATATTCTTCAGCAACTCTAGTTGTTCATTGCATTGTGGTTCTTATATTTACACTATAGCCACACCATGGATTAAAAAAAGTTATTTTTACTCCCAAATTTGGAAAATAGGAATACTGCTGGGCTCTCTTACTTGGAATTATTTATGGAACTGGTCTAATGGAAGAAATTTTAGATTTGACTTAAAGAGAAAGGCTGCTTCTGTTAGGGAATGATGACAGATCTCATCTTCCTGAAGGCACCTTCACACTCGCTTACAGGAAAGCGTGCTTGAGGTTTCCAAAGCATTGTGGGGTTTTCAGCCACAAAGTTCTGTTTCACTGTCTCAACTGCTGTTGCTGGCTATGAGGAAAGAAACATCATCAGGTGTTTTGTTTTTTTTTTTTTGTCCTTTTCTCAGTGCTTGTGTGATGTGTGTGTGTAAAAAAAAATAAAAATAATAATATTCCTAGCCTCTGAGAATATGAATATGATAAATGAATATATATTATATAAATAGGGACTATATAAAAATTTTTTTCTGACTTAAGCTTGAAAATTCAAACTTAATACATAAGTGTTCTTTAATGTGTTTCAGTGCTGCTGGAGGAGAAATATTTGATCTGTGCGTCCCAGATCTGGATGACAGAATTGGTGAAAGGGATATTATAAGACTTATAAGACAAATACTGGAAGGACTTCGCTGCTTACATGAAAACAATATTGTTCATCTTGATTTAAAGGTGAGGCTGTAGGGGACTTTTTATTTTAGTACTTTATCTTCAATCTAATATTATGAAAATAAGTCATTTATTAAATACATAACAAAGATGAGAAAAAATGAGTGTATTAGAGATTAAATAATTTAAAAAAATAAAATTTAGCAGTAAGTGTTGCGTAATAGAAATTGAAATGTCATTTAGGATATTGGGGTTTTTTGCAGCTTATATTTTATTAATCAGGTATTAAATCTTTTCTATTCTAGCCTCAAAATATTTTGCTGAGCAGCATCAATCCTCTTGGTGATGTAAAAATTGTAGATTTTGGTATGTCCCGAAAGCTTGAGAATTCTAGTGAACTGCGACAGATCATGGGAACAACAGAGTATCTAGGTATGGAAGAGTTGCTTCACAATTTTTGATGTGTAGCTTTAAGAAAAGAAAAACAGTTCAACTTACAAGTCATTGCTGGAGAAAGAACAACAGGACAAGGCAATATGTTTTGATCTGTTCTTTCTTTCTTTTTTTTTTTTTGAGTAGTCAAATATTTATACCCCAAAAATCCCAAATTATATTAAGAAGTGCACTTCTAATTTCATGCTGTAGTATTTGCTGTGATGCAGACTGTTAAATTAATAAGAAATCTTGACTGTTAAATTCTTTTGATTAGAGTTGAAATACAGCATTAGGAGGCACAAATAAATGTTCTTTGAATTATAAATGCCATTTAGTATGATGATTTAATGAGATTAAAATATTCCTCAGAAAGAGAAACTTTGCTATTAACATTTGGCCCTCTGTGGTTAAGGTTTCCTTAATGATCTGCCTACACTCAATTTTAAGAGCACGTCAATCTGTAGTGAATAACGTGCTATCTAGTGTACACTAACAGCTGCTGATCCTACAGCTCGCTTGGTCCTCTGGCCTTGCAGTGTTAACATGCTGAAGGCTTTGTGTTCTCCTTAAAAAGCTACTTGTAAACCTCTTAGAATAATCTTTTATGTGCATGCATCTGATCAGAAAATATCTTGGTACTTGGATAGAACAGACTTCAGGCCATATAGTGCCATTTTAGTGTGAACCAGTTAAGCAGCAGTGTGTCTAATAAAATGGAAATAACTATTTTCCCACCCCTGTGGCTTGAAAATAATAAAGTTGATTGTTGGAACTGCATGTTTAGTGTCATAATAATGGTTGGCAAAAAACTGCTGGAAGTGTAGTGCATGATTCAAGGCTGCTTTAATAATATATCTCTCAAAGTGTTTTTTCTTCTCTCCATTTCTTTCTCTAGCTCCAGAAATCTTAAACTATGATCCTATTACCACAGCTACAGATATGTGGTAGGTTGTATATGTTAATTCATTTTATTGAGGTAGGCATGATCACTTAACAATCTCGGGGCCAGATCCAGATTCTGATGCAGTATTGTACAGCTTCCAAGAATACCCTTCTGTTGATGGGCTGACCAAAAGAGGGAGAGTTGGGAGGGGAAGGAGTCCTCAGGGATAACCTGGGCCTGACAGAAATTACTGTCTATGGGTCTGTTGCACACCTAGTTGGAAATGCAGGTGGCTTCTGAGCATGCAGAGTATAGGTATTTGTTTTAAGGGAACAGTAACAATGATTGGATAGTGTATTTTGGGTATCAGTGACTCTTGGATGACATTAGGTATTAACTATTCTTG